GGCATCCAGGCGAGAGGCAGGCCGGCGAAACACAACAGCAGAGGAGTAGCCCCAAGGAGAAGGACAAAATACAAAACCTGGCGTCGCCGTGATGAAACCTGCGGTGGAGCCAGTCCGGCCAGCATCCAGCCGGGGGGGCTGCCAGCGCCCAGGGCCCCGCCAGGGCTGGCAGCACAGCATAGCGCGCAAAAAGAAACAAAAACATGCCAACCCTCGTCGCCCTGGTTCGCTGCGTTGACTTTCCTGGCGGCAAGTTGGCGGACCTGTCAAAGGCGCGTCGGCGCGGCCGTGGCGCAGCCAGGACAAAGCGGCCCTGGCCAATCGCATTCGATGGGGATCTTGAGACCGATTCACCGCTCCCATCCGGAATCGGCACGTGCAGAAAGAACACACGCCTTTCAACGGCAAAAAAAAAAAAATTCACGACATCCTGATTGTCACAAAAGACTTACGCGGGAGTAAACTGATGCTACCGTAGTTCAGGTAGGGTCATGGTACGGTAAGGAAGGGCTATGCTGGGCTAACAAAAAAACACCTCCCACCCTTTGACTTGAGAGCGGCAGTGGCGGATCCAGAGTCGACCCAAGGGGGGGGGGCAAAGTAGCACTTTTTGCCTACTTACAGGGGCAAATTGGTGCTTTTTGCCTACCTTTCAGGCAGCTATCTAGGGGTCAAGGGGGGCAATTGTCCTTTTGCCCCCCCCCCCTGGATCCGCGCTTGGAGAGCGGTGCAGCCAGGCCTTCCTCCTGCGGCAGTCCCCTGGCGACGCGGCATCCTTCAACTCGTATCGTTCGCATTGGAGATTCGCGCTAAAGAGGCCGCCCTTGCCCGCAGGCCGCAGCGTCCGGCGTGCCCGAGCCGTGCCCGAGCCGTGCCCTCCCGCCGACCAGACTTGCAAATGCGCCGCCAGCCGCCAGTTGGTTTGGGAATGTTCGTCCTGTGCTGGCCTGCCTCCGCCGTCCTGCCGCCCGCCCCGCCCCACCCCGCACAGCATGGCGCGGCAAAGTCTCCGAAATGTTTTCAAAAAGGCCGCGTCTCTCTTTCGTCCTCTCTCTCTCTCTTGGCCGCATTTTGAATCTCCTCTCCGGCTGAGTCACGCTCCGCAAACAACGCCGCCTCCCCGCGTTAATGACAAGCGCCTCTTGTTTTTGCAGTGTAATACAAGTCGGCATGACAACGCGCGGCGGGGGAGGGGGAAGGGCCGGTTGCCCTGGCCAATCAGGGCACAGCGTTTTTGCACGCGTGCCTGTGGCGTATTTGCGTTGCTGCGCGTGGCGTGGCGTGGCGGGGCGGAGCGGTCCGAATGCTATGGAGACATATTGACTCCTTACGCCATTAGCATGAGCGCCCTCAAAGGACCGGCGCTGCGGTTGGAGGGCGGAGGGGGGGAGGGGGAGGCTCTCTGAGACAAAGAGGCGAAATAAAAAGGAGGGAGCCGCCTGCAAAGAGGATGACGCGGGGGAATGACTTGCAAATGCACCAACCTCGTTTCCTGTCATACATACCACCTCGACACCGGCGAGCGCGGCGAGCGAGGCGAACGTGCCACCGGCAGCCAGCGGGCCGCGCCCGATTCTCTCAGGCCGCCGCGGGCCTCGACCACGGCGAGGTGGCGGCGCGGCCAACAGCGTTTCAGCCCCATCGTTCAAAAGTTGGGCGCGGTCCGATAACGCCAACGGCGCCAACGGCGGCAAGGAGACGGGCATCGCCGGGCTTCCGACACCTGGAGGCACTCTGGAGGCACCCTGAAGACACCCTGGAGGCACCCTGAAGGCACCCTGTAGGCACCCTGAAGGCACCCTGGAGGCACCCTGGAGGCACCCTGGAGGCACCCTGGAGGCACCCTGGAGGCACCCTGGAGGCACCCTGGAGGCACCCTGTAGGCACCCTGTAGGCACCCTGGAGGCACCCTGGAGGCACCCTGGAGGCACCCTGGAGGCACCCTGGAGGCACCCTGAAGGCACCCTGGAGGCACGCTGCCCTGACGACGACGCCCCGAAGGTCCTGCTGTAGGCCACTAGGACCAGGACGCGGTCGCCGCAAAGTGCCTCTCATCCCGCCAAAAGCACCAAGCCCGCCAAGCCCGCGCTGCGTTCAACTCAAACGCACCGGCTGAATTTTTCATACTCTATTTCCGCGGGGATGCATATGAAGGCGCGGCGCGCTGGGGCCGCGTGTAGCGCGGCGAGGGGGAGGGAGGGGAGGGGAGGGGGAGGAGGGGTGGAGGGAGAGGAGGGGTGCAAGGGCAGGGATCACGGCCGGTCGGAGTCGCAGTGCGCCGTCGCCCGTGACGCCCGCTCCATCATTTCCTCCAAACGCAACTGCGCAAAACGTGACGAGCGGAGCGAAGGGCGGGAGAGAAAGAGAAAGGGTGAGGTCGGCGTCGACGAGGCCAGGCACGGCGGCGCGGCACAGCGGCCAGCTAGCGCCTGCAGCCTCCAGCATGGGCCAGCCCGCCACGCTGCCCTGCCGGCCGGGCGGCCTACCTGGCTTCTCGCAGGCGCTATGGCGCGCCGCGCGCTGCCGCTGCCGGCTTTGGGTGCCGCACAATATGCAACAAAATATTCTCGATACACGCCTTGATATTCTGACTCGTATTCTCAACCATTCTGCAAAATTATTCACTTAGTGGAAAGACTACGCGACAAAATATGGCCGATGGCACCGAACCTCTGTCTATAAATTATTTGCACGTTCTATTTACTAGTAGAGCTTTTTGCTAGTCCATTAGGCAAACATTTGTATTAAGTTAAGGTATTCTCCTCGGTGTTCGAAATATTCATATTCACGAGAACAGCGAGTGATTACCCCCTCCGAGAGCGCGCTTTGCGGAATCAGTGTGCCGACGGCTACGCCGCCACGGCACGCCCACGCGGCGCAGGGCGATGACTGGCGGCGCCGAGAGGCGGGCAAGACAAGCCGCTCTCTCTCTCTCTCTCTCTCTCTCTCTCTCTCTCTCTCTCTCTCTCTCTCTCTCTCATGCCCTTCGCAGCCACTCCACCCGGCACACCGCTTTCCCGAATCGGATAAATAAACCAACTCGCGAGGCGCGCCTCCGCCTTGTTCGCGCTCGGCCCGCTCCTCCCCACCCCCATCCACCCCCACGCGGTTCATTGGCGCGACGTCGCTAACAAAAGCAGCTTGCAGGTGTGCGGCCCCTGCGGCCCCCGCGGCGCCTCCTGCACAGACTCATTCCGAACAGCGGGCCTCACGACGCTCCGTCTCTCTCGCACTCGCGAGAGTGAGAGAGAGAGAGAGAGAGAGAGAGAGAGAGAGAGAGAGAGAGAGAGAGAGAGAGAGAGAGAGAGAGAGAGAGAGAGAGAGAGAGAGAGGACGATACGCTGCGAGGAATCAGTGAGCTGCCAATTCGCACAATGGACTGCGACTTGTTCCGCAGCCAGCGCGCCTCGGTGCGCTAACTGCCGCCACGCCCCGCCACGCCCCGCCACTCCACTGCGCACCTAGCGGCACCACGCTGGCGTACCGCTTGGCGGCGCTCGGCGGCGCGGACAAGATAATGAAACCATAATACGGGCGGCATGGCGGCACGGCACGGCGCCGCACTAAGCTCAGCCAAAGTCCTCGCAAAGTATCGAAGCGGCGGAGCGGCGCGCGGAGCGCCACTGCAAGGGCCCCGAAGAGACGCCGCCGGCGCGGTGCCAGGACCGCCAGGACCGCCAGGACGCTGAGCCTCTCCGTGCAGTGTGCCGAGCCGCGCCCGCCGTCCCGTCCCGTCCGCGCTGCTGACACTAAGTTGTGAGCCATTCCGGCGAAACCCTCGCCGTGCCCGAGCCAGCCTTATTGAAGAAGTACGCGCGCAGCCCGGCGGCCGGTGAGGTGCGCCGCCCCCGCCGCCCCCGCCGCCCCCCGGTGGGGCACGTCTCGGATTAATCCGCCCCCCTCATGGAGGCCCCTAAACAGGCTCGATAATGGGCCGCAGACGCTGTTCGAGTCGGGATTACACGCGGATAAGCCGACCTGCTGTTCGTTTGGCGAGCGCGCTGGCTCCTGTTCACGTTGTGTGTGTGTGTTCGCGTGGGTGAAGAGGCAAGCGCGCGCGTATGTTTGTGTGTGTGTGTGTGTGTGTGTATGCACGTGTTTGCCCGAATCACAGAGCGAAACGACTTAATTAATATGATCGCCGCGCACACACTCACACACACACACAAATACACACAAGCGCGCACGCAGAACAGATCCGCTTCCCTCATCCCCTCGAACGTGATCATTAGCACACAGGTGCAGCAGGTAGCCCCCCCCCCCCTCCTTCCCCCTCGAACCCCGCCCACGCACAACGGCCGCGGCGCTTAGCCAAGCCGGCTGCACACGTTTCAATGGCGGCGCGCTAGAAGCGCAGCCAAGGGCCTGGGGGAGGGGGAGGGGGGGGGGGCGGTCGCTCGCCTGTCGGTAAACACAACCTTGCCGACCACTTGGCCATGCAAAACCACGGCGGACACGCGAGCGCCGACATGCGCCACAGAAAAGCGTAAACAGAACGGCCGAGCAGATTGGGTCCCAGAGTGGGTAGCGGTATCGGGGAGGGGCGGCGGGGGCGCCGACGGGGACCTCGATAGGGAATTTCCCGCACGGCCGCGCCGCCTTGCCCGGGGCGGCGCCGGCGGCACGCTCACCGGAGATGAGCCCTTTCCCCGGTCCGCCGGTGCGGCCGTGCGGCCGAGCGGGCACGCCGTCGAGGTGCACGGCGTGCAGGGCCTCGGCCACGACGCCACCGTATCGGCCCACCACACCGCAACACGCCCTTCGAGGGCCCGGCGAAGGGCCGGCGGCTTAGTTATGGCGCAAACACCTTAACCACGGCCCGCGCCCCACGGGGCCTCCGGGGGGCCCTTGGGGGCGCAGGCGCGGTCACGTAGCGAGGGCAACACCGCATCGACGGGGCGGGGGACCGGGAGCGCGCTCGGCTGCTTCGTGCTGGAGCATATAGACGGACACCTGGGCCGGCCGCCGCGGCCGCACGGCTGCCTTGAGCGCGTACTCACCCACGGTCTTGTTCATGACGAAGTCGAAGGCGGCGAGGGGCCCGTACGTGGACGAGCACTGCGAGTCGCGGTGCCGCAGCGCGATGCTCCAGCCGGGCAGGATGCCGTCGGCGGGGTGGCTCACGTCCTTGATGGCCAGGTCCATGGCGGGCAGGATGTGCGGCAGGTTGCGGTCGTTGTTGTCCGAGGCCGGCGCGATGAGGGCCAGGTTGAGCGTGCGGGGGGCGGGGGCCACGGCCACGGCCACGGCCAGGACCACCAGCACCGCGCACGCCAGCCTCATCCTGGCGCTGGCGGGGCTGGCGGGGCCGGCGGGGCGCTGCGACGAGGCCAAGGGCTCAGAGGGTCAGGCGGGGGGCCTCCCGCAGCCCCCGGTGGAGGCCCCGGCAGCGCCAGGGCTCCCATGCCCCCATGCCCCACTCCTGCCAAAACAAAAACAGAACCATAATCAATTTCCGATGTCCCCCAAACAAATAATTGCGAAAGACGTATTTAGCGTGGCGCTCGCGCTGCGGTCCCTCGCACGCGCCGCCCGCAAGGTGTGCACGACGTGCTGCTGCATGCGGCCTGCAGGTCGGGCCCGTCTCCTCTCTCTCGGACACACGACCGCGTCGCGTCCGCGCGTCAGCGAGCCCTCTTGGCAGCGCCTCCCCGGCCTCCCCCTCACAATCGCCTTATTCATTAGTGTCACTTTTTTGCGGCGAGACGCGAGGCGCTGCCCGCCGCACCAGGTATTGTGCAGGAACACAGCTGCAAGATTTCTCATACGTCTTCCTCCGCGCGTTGCGGACAGGTAGGACTTCCCCGGCCGGCGGCGGGACCTGGTGGGCCCGCCATGCCTCTCTCTTCGTCGCCTTCCGCCGCCCTTTGGTCGCTGTCTCTCTTGCACTCGTGGAGCGTCCCGGGTTGGTGCGAGAGAGACAGAGCGACGACGAAAACGACTCTCGGAATGAGTCTGCTGCCTCGCCGCGCTGTTTCAATTTGACAAGCTCTGGGTGTCTCTGGCTGCCGCGGGCAGGCACCCCGGCGCCATCGGCCGAGCATCGGCCGACGCAATGTCACCCTTCATTGCCACATCAAAGTAAAGCGTGCGATAGCGGAGCAACCCGCGATAGCCGGCAATGCCTTCTTGACCTACATTTTTACGAGGGACACTCAAATCTGCAGAGCACGCGGCGCGGCGCACGGCAACGCCAAGCAACGCCCCGCCACCAGACGGCGTCACAACTAACACACCGAACTTGACCTTGAGGGATGCATCATTTTACAACACATGCCGGCGGCGACGGCCCGCAGTGTGCTGTCTGTCTGTCTGTCTGTCTGTCTGTCTGTCTGTCTGTCTGCGAGCGTGAGAGTGTGTGTACGTGTGAGTCTGGCACAGAGAATCAGACAGGAGCGGGGGCGCTCGCCGGGAATGTAACGTTTTGTCAGCGTAATATACGGAGTAATACACGGGATGGCCCGCGTGACAGGTGCCCGCTGCTTAGTGCATGTGCCGTTGTCGCGCAGACAAATCATCAGCGGAGAGAGAGAGAGAGAGAGAGAGAGAGAGAGAGAGAGAGAGAGAGAGAGAGAGAGAGAGAGAGAGAGAGAGAGAGAGAGAGAGAGAGAGAGACGGGAGAAGGAGAGAGCGGCGCTGCGACGTCCACGTAATTTTCTCCGCAAGGATGGAGGCGGACAAAAAGAGCAAAAACAACAACAAGAAGAATAGAACACTGGTCCGCCGAAGGCCGGCGAGCCAGTAGACCAACCAGTAGAGGCTGGCGGGCCTGCCGGGCCGGGCGGCGAGGCGAGGGCACCAGAAGTCTAAGGGCCACACAAAGGCGAAGGGTGCTTGGCTTTCGGTGGCGCCCAGACGACGGGGAAGATGGCGGGCATGGCGGAGGCCCGGAGGGGGCCGGGGGGGGGGGGGGGCGACGAGGTACGAGGCAGGCAGAGGAAATTAGGCCGGGGCAGCACAGTGTGCCTGAAAGAAGGCGGGCTGCGTCGCGAGGGAAGGCACCGAGTCAGAACGAGGCACAGCCAGGCACAGCAAGGCACTGCGACGCGGGGGGCCGGGCCGGGCCGCATCGCATAAACCAATGAATCCAGCAGCCAGCTGTGCCGCCGCGTCGCAGCGTCGCCACGCAGGTGGCTGCCGGCTTATGACGAAAGGCACCTGGCTCGGCACCTGGGGACACCAGCAGCGGCAGCGGCGCCAGCAGGCTCCCGGGGCATCCCTTCGAGGCTTGTTAACTCACTGCCAACCTGGCGAGGAGCAGCTATACACACACACGCACACACACACGTGAACAAACACGACAAGGAATAAACAAGCCCCACTCATCGCAGGCACCCGTATTTCTCCTGGCTGTGACGCCAGAATGTCATACAGTACCCGAGCCAGTCATATGTCCTGACCGGTGCAATGTGTTCTCGCTTGCTCGCACACACACACACACACACACACGCGCGCGCGCGCGCGTGCGGGCACTCCGTACGTCCGCCGCCTACTGGTGCTCCCGACCCTGGCCTTGCTACTTTTCCGCATGCCAAGCCCCCCCCCCCCTTTTCCCCTCGAGCTGAAATAGAGCACATGCAGCGCCCAGACACAATGCGGATCATCCCGTCATCCTCAAATACTCTCGGCCGACGGAGAGGCCGGCGCCAAACCGACCACGCCGCCGCCCCGCCCCGCCCCGCCCCGCCCCGCGCGGACGTGTGTTTGTGACCTCCTGGAGTTCCGTGGCCACGCCGCGCTCCAGCGAGCGCCGCCGCCTTTTCTCTGGAGCCTCCAGTCCACTTCTGCTTCTGAATGGAGTACTTTGGAGTCCTGGAGAGTCCCTGGAGGAAGGGGAGGAGGGGGAGGTCCTATATCCGGCGGGGAGTGCCCGAACCGAAAGGCGGCGGGGGCCGCCCCACCGCACCGCACCGCGCCGGGTGCCGTGCCGTGCCGTGCCGTGCCGTGCCGTGCCGCGCCGCGCCGGCCGAAGATGACAGGGCGGGGCCAGGTCAGGGCAGGCCAGAGCTCGTTCGAAAAATGCCGAGGACCCCGTCGGCAATGAGTCTATGGGGGGCTCCCTGCGGCGGCGTGCTCAGGGGACAGGGCCAGCCAGCAGCCCGGACCGGCACAGCCCGGGCGGAAGGAAGTCCAGCGGCATTCCGAAGGGAGCGCGACGCAGGGCGGCAGGGCGGCAGCGTACGCAGGTGACTGCGCCCCTCAGAGAGGTGCCCGTCGGAGCGGCAAATTCAAACATGGGCCACGCCAAGGCTGGGTTTGCCGGCGGCTCGCACCGTCGCCATGACAACAAGGCACTGCGCCGCGGGGCCCCCGCCACACCGCCACGCCCTCCACCGTCTTCCGCGCGGGCTCTTCCTTGAGGCTCTTGGACTTTCGGCGCGACACCGTCGCCGCGTCGCCCACCGAGTTTACAACGCGGCGGCCACGCGACGCGGCAAGTGGCAGCCAGGTGGCAGCGCGCGTCGTCAGGATGGACAACTTTGTCGTTTTAGCGGTTATTCTAGCGAGCAGGTGACGGCGAGCGGGGCGGCGGGGCGCGCGCGCCGCCGCTCTGGCGGCGGTCCAGGCGGCGTGGCGGGCGTTACGTTCGGACAGGATCACCGCCGTCAGGCCCGTCGACTCGCCGCCGCGCTGCCGGGCCAGGGCCGGGGCCAGGGCCGGGGCCAGGGCCGGGGCGTCGGCGGACTCGGCTGCGCTGCACTTTCGCCAGCCACCGCACTGCGCGGCCCCCTCCCCTCGGCCATTCCTCCAAACGCATAATTGTCGCCCAACGGCCCTCTTAATACGGCAGGGCAGACGGCAACCTGTTCACCTGTTGGCGCGTCAAAAGATTCGTTTCCGCCGCCGCTTGGCCGCTCAGTCGCTCGGCCGCGCCTATTGGTGTCGCGACGGCGGAGTGCTCCGGGGAGGCCGTGGTGCCGCTCCCCGCCGGCCGCCTGGCGGTGTTGCTGGCGGTGGCGGTCAAAGCGTCAAAGCTCGGCGGCGCGGCGCGGTGCGGTGCGGCAGGCCCAGAGGCAGGCCTCCCCCGAGGCCGTCGTCACCTGCCGCTCGACGGAGGGCGTACCGCGGCGCCGCGCCGCGCCCGGAGTGATTTCCCGCGCGGCAGTCCCCGCGGGGGTGGTGTCACGCTGCCACAGTGCCACCGACGATAAATTGGGCGAGAGTCCTCAGACGGTTTCGCAGTAAAACGCGAAAAGCGTGACGCGGCCGCCGCGGGAGTCGAACCCGCGACGCCGCGACCGCCCGGCCGTAAAAGCTGCCGGCGACGTGATGGTGGAGGCCCCGCGATGCCTCCAGGCAAGCCTCCAGGCGCCTAGGCCAGCAGCGCGGCCCGGCCGGCCCCGCCACCGGAAATCAGGCTTTCCGGCGACACGGCGGAGAAAGGGGGGGAGGGGGCGGGGGACTAATGAAGCGGAATGGCGGAGGATTCAAATGAGAAAATCGGAAAATGGTTGGAGGCGAGGAGGAGCGAGGGAGAAGCCGCTATTTGCAGAGAAGAGACCGGAGGAAAGCGAATCCTCTCGCCGCCATGCAGAGCCAGCCCAGCCAGGTCGGCGCGGCCAGCCTGGCAGCCCAGAGCCCGGGGCAGGCACGGCGGCACGGCCTCGCAAGCAACTTCCCAGTGCAGCAGACAGCGCCCCGCCGCCCCGCTGCACCTCAGCGAGTCGAACGGAATGGGGAAATACACTGATTGTGCCTGACCGGAGTTTACGGCAACGGCGGAGGGCGCTGGCGGGGCTGGCGGGGCTGGCAGCCAGCACCGCTCAGCGCAAAAACGGGGCACAACAACAGCGGCAGCCAGCCAAGCCATCGGGGGGCTTAGTCAAGTGGGAGGCAACAAACAGGTGTCATGCGCCAGCAAATAGAAAAAAGGGCCGGAAAAACGGTTTGACATGAAGCGCTGGCGTCACGCCACGCGCCGGCGCCCGACCAATTTGAACCTCGGCAGGAAACGACCACATCTCATCAGCGGCATTGCGAAATGAATAATTTGACAAAATGTCGGTTTAAAAACAGCGACGACCGAAACAAAAGTACAAGTCGTCGACTGAATCCGCAAACTTCGTTGTGTATGCTCCTGGAGGGTCGGAAATAAAAACGTTTTATAATTAGTGACAAAAACAAATCCAAGCTGAAAATGGCGAGTTTACACAGCGAGGAGGGGGGGGGGGCCATTAGCGCGAGACGTCAAAGCCAATCCGGGCGGCGGAACGCAGCGCCACGCAAGAGGCGACCGAGGCGTG